TTTTTTATATTTAATAAAAAAAGAAGACAGGGTCAAATGGACATTTTCACCCTATGGAGAAAGGATGAAAGCACCATTGGGGGGCTGGGAACCTCCTAGGATTTGCTTCTGTCAGGCTCTTCCCTAGCCTAAAGAACAGAATATATTTCAACGAGAGCGAGCCCATCATTTTTGGGGTGTACCAACCAGCACAGAGCAGCCCCAGCTCCAAGCCCTATTAGCTCACTCAAAGATGGAGCAAAGGCTCCGTGCTGTGGCCATGGTGGAACAGAACAGTAATAAAGGGCATTGCTGTACGCAGATAACAATCAGATGGATTTTACAATTATAAAGCTTGGATTTCGTAACAGGACTTTTCTGTAACACGATGACGTGGTAAGCAGGACTCATCCATGTCCCTGAACGGCCTTAATGAAGAGTGAGCGCTATGTTTCCTTTCACAGGAGCCACGTCTCTTACTCCACTTGGATCCACTGGCACTCCAGTCCACGAATACAGGCTCTTACCTGAGCTCCAGGCTGGCTGCCTAGAGCAGACTGCCCAAACCAAGTGAAATTCCCAGCGGGCAGAATTCCAAACTTGCTTTTTGACTAATTAAGTGATATTAGGAGAGCTGTAAATGGCACGCAAAAACTGGCAGGCAAACTGCTTCTAATGATGAGACAATTGCTGTGCAGGGAGACCCAGCTGCAGCCTCGATGCGCAAGCCCTGTCAATAGAAGCATTAATCTTTCCAAAACTGCCAATGCCAAGATGTTCAGAAGTGGATCAAGGAGATGAGGTAGGAGAGAAGGGAAAAGGCGACTAGCTCTCACCCAAAGGAGACTGCGGCCGTAGCCGTAGGGAGGGCTCACAGCGTTACAAGCTATCGTTCCCAGCAGGTGCCTATCTGACCACTAAATGCTGAAGAATGAATTAGCACAATAATCTTGCAGCCAAAATCTTAAGGGCACAATGATATCCACATTTAGAGCAACAGCAGTTTAATAATGATGCAAATCACTATTAAACAGAAGCAGCCTGGACACCTTTTCTTGACCGCTTTTTAGTTGGACTTGAAACTCTGAAGCGCGAGAGGATTTTCACCTTAATTTTCATACTCACTTTTTGCACATGTTGTGGCAACTAGGAATACACTTGATACTCCTATGTAAATTCAATCTGTGCATCTCTGGCATCAGAGATGCCCTGCAGCCATGAGTTCCACAGAATCTAACTTAAATCTTTATCTCTTGCTTGGATCCACAAGCAAGGCAAATTAAGTTGCAGCTCCTCATTACAGTGAAACCCTTTGGGGACATACACCAGTCTTCCAGAGTTCAAACGGAGAAAAACAGACCACCAGTTGCCAGAGAATCCCATAAAACCTCACCGATCCAAAAGATTGAGTAGCAGAGGGATGCTTGGTGGAATGGCAATAGGTCTTTGGCATCTGCATGGTGAGAGAGTCAAAAGACATGTCTATCCGGCATGTCAGCTCCTTCCTGTGCATGCTGCTTCTCTGCGGCGAACAGAGACAGTTAATCCCTCAATAGAAGTGGGATCAGCTTCCTTGCATCCACCCTTCAGTAAAAGCATGAGCCCAGACACCTACTGAGCACATGAACCAGACACTGTGTATTGAGTTACTGTACAATGCTCATCTCTTACCTAAACACAGCATTTCCACGTTCAAAACAGTCACGAGCAACCCTTCCTCCATCTTCAGGTAGGGTCTTTGCAAGAACCACTACAGCTAAGGGGTCAGCTGCGTTCAGAGAGGTTTGCAAAAACATGCACGCAGGTTTTACACGTGCGTTCAGGAGGAGAGGGCCGCTCCCACATTTCGGCACCGAACCATCCCACACCTGGCTGCTCTGTCCTCCTGTCTCACCTTCTCCAAGCAGGCTCTCTAAGGAGGTGCTGAGCACAAAAGGAATGAAAAGTTTGCTTTGTCCTCCTCAGGAAACCTTTAATAATTGCCTTTACCGCACTCTCAACCTGCACTGCCTGTTCTTTATTCTCCGGGCAGGTGCTGAGAGATGAGGCTTCAGTGAGCAGACTGATTAAAACCAAGTATCGGATGTTTGGAGACAACGTGTAATACGACAACCAACACTCAGGGTACCACGTGAGAAACATCATTAAACAGATTGCTCTGTTGACCACGCTGTTATAATTTCAAGCCTTGCATTTTACAATTAAACCCCATTTGTCTCCTAATGGCAGGCTAAACTCTGCTTTCTGCTTTGTCAGCGTGAAATCAAAAGCAATCCTCTAACAGCACTACCTTGAATTTATGCTGTGGGGACTGAATTTGAATCTATATTCACTTTCCCTAAATGATCCTATAAATACGAATGTATCATCTCTTTTTTTCTAAGCACACACACACAAAGTTGATCAGAAACAAGTCTCGCAGGCAAGAACAATTACTGCACGTCACCACTTTGGCTATTTCTGCAGGGTCTTAACTTTCCAGATGCTCATGGATTTGAAATCTGGAGTTTGAGCCATGCCAAACCTGCGCAAAGTCTGCCCACTTTCCCTGATCCACGTGCAAATGAGCTTTCCAATCACCCTCGCATTTGTTCTAACACCTCCACATCCCCCAACCCCACCCGTCCTGGGCATAAACTACCTACTGTATCCCGAGCTTGTCTGTACCATAATCGGATGAAGACCTGGGGAGGAGGAACGCCGTCTAAAAGGGGTTCGTAACAAGGAAAGAAGTAGCTCTAACAGCGTAGCAACATCACAGGAACAGAGAGAGGCATTGTTGCAGGCCAAGTAATCCTGTGACACGCTACTGTCAGTCATAGCTTGACACCCTGCTGGGCCAGCAAGACATCAAAGCCCACCCCATACCATCTTACATGCTCTTTATCGGCTAATCAGGCTATTCTTCCCGAAATAAAGCTCCGTTAAATCCCCTGCTCACAGGGGCATTCCCATCCTGTTGCCCATCTGCTGGTGAGGGTCAGCTGAAGCAGGAGGCAGATCCGTGGCCTGTCCCTCGTGGCTTCTCAAAGCAGGACAATGCAGTCTCTAACTTTTTGTTTTAAAATCCCTTTCCCTTGAAGTTTTTTTAATCCAAGATACATACGCGTGCAAGAGATGTCACCAGCCCAGGAACAATTATGTGGATTAGTGCTTTAATTGCACGGCTAACGTCTGATAATGGAGTTTCAGCAACAATTGCACGGAACGAGTCACAACTGATACTGGTAAGAGAAAAAAGATTTTCCTCCTTTGAATTATTACAGTGATTTTACCGGGAAGCCTGAGGTTCGTATCCTGCCGTTGCACTAAGGAAGACATCGAGCCGTTAACACTGGAATCTCAAAAGGGAGGATTATCTATCTTGTGGATCCAACCCAAAGTAGCTAGGATCAGACACACCGAGCCCCTCCAGCTCCCCTGCAAGCAGAGAAGAGGGTTCAAGGCTCTGCTCCTCCAGAATCACCAGCGAGCCTCAAATTCCTCACACAGGAAAGGAGTGCCCAGGAACAGCCCTGTCCACACACCGAAGGGGATAGAGCTGCAACTCCAGGTTTGCTACAGGCTCTTCCTGGGAGAAATCCCACATGATTCTGCAGAAACACTTTTGCCAGAACTACTTAAATCTACAGGCAGCAGAGCCAAGTTTGTAGAACGTTCATTTCTGCCAACAAATCTGCCTTTTGAATTGGGCATGTACTTTTATAACTACACTCGATCATATAATTAATAACTGAAAAAAATACACTGCACTCCTTCCCTTCAGATATAAGCTAACATCTCCTTGGGGAGAAGAATAAGTAGTCCAAGCTGCAGCTGGCCATTCTGAGAGGATGGACACAATTTGTCCCATGGCAAATCCGACAGCCAGGAAACTGCTGGTGAAACTGCAGGAGAAAGACTACAAAAGACTCTGTAGAAAAGGCAATAAAAAAGGCCAGAGGAGGCCACAGGAGGCCTTTAAAGTCAGTTCGACACGTACTTTGCTCCTGATGCAGTGGTATTTGTCAAGGCCAGGAAGGAAGAGACTATCTTGTGAGATAAATCAGCACTCATGCAGCATTGCCCATAATGCACAGGACAGGCAACTTCAAATTTGAGAAGCGAAAATATTCATTTCTCTGCTATTTCCTTGATGCTTTTATCATTCTGTGCCCTACACCAACAGCAAGTACTTACGAGCACAGCTGTATCTGTGATAGCCTTTCCCTAGACAGGGATGAGGATGAAGAGTTGCTACTGCCAGGGATTGTAGCTCTCTGTAGGACCATGCAACTGGAAGTGGGGATGTGAATGGAAAACCTGGCAGGTTCCACTATGGAGGTGCTTGGCCACAGCAACAGGATTGCTGCTGGAGCTCTAGCCACCAAGACCTGCGCAACAAAGAGAACCACTCCAGTACATGGGAAGTCTCATGCTTTGCTCTGGAACACTGCCTGTACCCTTCCCCATCCGTCAGGATAGGTCTCCTACCCTGACGGTGAAGTATGAACAAATAAAAATTAGGCTGTTTCTGCTCATAAGACTCATAAAGAGTGTTTTTCAAGGGCTCAGAAAATGGAAAAGCAAAACCCAGGCCAGCCTATGTGGGTGCATCCCCACACTTGGCAGCTTCCTTCAAAAAAGAGCATCTTTATCAGAAGTCAAACTACAAAGTGAGCTTTGTTTTGGTTTGTTGCTGTCTTTTTTTTTTTTTTAAGACTGAATTCCAACTCAAATGTTCAACCAAGTTGGTTTAATAAATGTAATTTTTAGGCTCTCTAAGCCATTAGAAAAAGGGGAATGAAAGAGCTCAGAGTGCAGCCTAAGACAATGGCTCAGCATGACTTAGCATCTCTGGAACAACCACACGTGACCTGCCCCCCAGCATGGGGGTTGGACTAGATCTCTGAAGGTCTCTTCCAGCCCAAACCATCCCATGTCCTGGAGCAAGCACAACAACCGTGAGTAGCAAAGCACACCACAGCTTCTTCCTGAGCTGTGGAAGACCACGTGACACCAAGCTGGCCTACCTTTTTGGTCTGGGTTTGGTTTTCTTCTTTGAGCTTGCAGTTGGAAAAGCAGTCAGGTTCTGGGGGGCATCTCTCAGGCCAAAGCTCTTAGCCACGTGACCCAGGTGGAGAGATTTGATGTGGAAGATGTGCTTGAGGTTCCTGGGATAGGTGGTATAGGCACACAGGAAAGACTGCAGTGCTGAGGAAAAAGGAAAAAAAACCCCATAAACCCAAAGTAAGTTCTGTTTGCTACTGCATTTTTATATATATACACTTCAAGATTCAGCTGTTCCAGCTGAAAGGACGTTGGCCTTGTCCTTTGGGACACCTTCTGGTCAGCAGCTGGTAGAAAAGGTTGGCACGTTAAAAATCCGTGAAGGTTGATAGCAATAGTACGATCCTGAAAGGAGAAGGTAGGGGGTGGAGAAGCATTAGGAACGGAAACAAAGCTGCATTAGGTTTGCCCCTTGCAAGGATGCCCCTTCTGCCGGAAAGGGTGCTGTCTGCAGCACATCTCACTGGAGTCACTGACATCAAATGGAAGCAGATAAGGGGAGAGAGGGAATAGATACAGGGATGAAGAGAGGGAAGGGGAAGCATGGAGATGGCATAGGAAGACTCCTCTGATATTACAGTCCCAGTAGTCCATGCATTTTTCACCAGTTACTAGATAGTCCCTTATAAATATCTGAGAGCCAGATGGATTTCCTAACTCATCATCACACTGAGAACAGAGCTCACCTTCTCAAAAGGGAAAAATAATAGAATTGTGTGCAAATTTCCCTTCACATCTTTATATTCCTGTAATGCCCTTCCCTCAGGGCTCATTGCTCTAAAGACGATCATCCACTAATACGAACACTACCACTGCTCCTCCACGTACCCGGAACATTAACTACACCCAGGCTGTCCTCTCTGCTGTGGGGAATACGGGGACTTGTAGTAAGGAAACTCTACAGCTCAGAAAACGCCTCCCTTCAATCCCCTGCTGCTCCTCCGCTTGCTAAATCTCTCCTGTCCCCCGAGCCCTGACTCCAACCACCACCTACGTCTTCCTCTCCCTCTCAACCCCCGACAGCAGCAAGCTCTAAACTCCAACCTCTCCTGCCCTTGCCTGTTGAGCCACCGGACCAGCAAGTTTGCCCACAGCTTATGTCTAATCTCTTGGCAGCAGCCGGAGATTGGAGTTTATGAACAGTAATAAAAATGTCATTTTAGCAGATCAGCTCCTGGAAGGACCCAGGGAATCCATCAAAGCTCTGTTTACTGAGTAAAGTGAACTCCTTTTCCCAATCGATGAGAAGAAAAGATTGAGTTTTTCGCACCTTCCTCCCAATTTCACAACGTTACTCTTTTAGAGGCACCTGAGCATCCAGACACCGGTGTTTTCCCAGAAAGAGAATGCTAAATTCCAAATACCCCATCTTGGTGTCTCATCTGATGACCATCCTTCCGAGGGCTTTAAACCAGCTCAAAAGCTCTCAAAACCCCTTTTCTGCTCCTTTCTTTCATAAAGTTATTCATCAAATTCACCCGCTATGAGAAGGTGTAACTCCTCAAACGGAACAATAAGAACTTGCTCTTGCTCCGAATTCGGTCCCGTTGGAGCTCATACAGCTGCCTGAAATGGTTGAGAGTAAGGATCCTGTTATTATGAAGGCTGAGCTCACCTCCCGCAGCTCTTCAGACAGGACAGGCTGCTGGTCCTAACTCCCCAGATGAGAGAGAATCAGTGTCAAAGGCCCCCTGCCCTTCCCAAAGTCCTGCCCACAGCTGCCAGATCCAGTCCTGAGTCAGAGCCTGCAAAACCGGGGAGAGCTGCAAGACGCCAGCCCAAAGCTGAACCAACAGTCCTGCGGTACCAGCAGGTCCAAACCTCAGCTCATACAACGGTCTCACCTCTGCGGAGCTCAGAGCTGCTCATGTTCATTACAGCACCCACGGGATTTGAAGACGACCTCTGTGGGTGTGATTCTTGTTTACATCTTCACTATCAGTGTTGCCAGAGTCATGTTTTCCAGGTTATGTGCAATTGTAGTGGCCAGGTAATAAAAGCTTTCTTTTTCTAAGTTGGAATTCGTTTATAATTGGGTGATCAAATAGATGGAGCTTCATGAAAACAGCTCAAAAAGACCGGTAACAGCAGCAGTCAGGCAATAATTCACATAAGTTACCTCATCCTAAGCCCACAGGAGCAAACTGCTGGAGCTGTTACAGTTTTGGCACACCAACGTCGACTTGGGCAACGCACACCAGCCTGGGGTGGGACTCAGACTGGCCTCCACCTACGAGTGGATTTAGACTGGTCCTTAGTGCTTGTGCATCCGCACTTTTCCATAGGAAACGGAAGTGTGGAAAGTCAAAGGAAAAAAGAAGCTACGTATGATGGAGGTTAGGTAAGTTGGTTTGTTGGGTTTTTGTTGAAACAGGGGACAAGAGGTAACGAGATACGGAATGAGACAGGTGACATAACCTGTTCACCACGTGCTCAGCTGGCAGCCGGTTCCCAGCCGGCCCCAGGGCGCAGCCTCAGCCGCACGGCTGGATAAACTGGCGGAGGCACTCTGCCAGCGTACGGAGCATGTGGGAACAGGAAGGAAGACTGCATCCTAACTGCCATGGATCCAAGCATCGTGCCACAGCAGTGGGATCCTGTAACGCCGCTGTCCCTCTCGGTACACGGGTGCTGAGGACAAAAAGGATGAGGCAAAATGCTCAACTATTGCCTAAAAAAATGGGGAAACATGGAGGAGAAAAGCAGGGCTTGCTTCCTTACCCCTTCTGTAACCCCAGGGGCACAAAGGATCGGTGTCCTGAGCTCGATCTGTCCCCAGATTTCCAAAGCAGAGTACCTATCACCATGCAACCCTTCGGATGAGAGGCTTCCATCTCCCAAAAGGTGTTCCACGCTTCATGAGATTCGTCCTTCAGGTAGCAGGACCCAGCCCTACCCCTCCTCCCACCCATCGCACTGCGGATCAGTCAATCAAGTTTGAAGGGCAGCACCTTCACTGAACCATTTGATTTGAGTTTGGAAAACACGGGGCCGAGAGGCAGAAGGGGTGAGTGGGCAGGGAGCCACTCGCCTTTTGAAAGCGGGCTGCAGCGAAAACACTGCTTATTAACACTGACTAGGTCAGAAAATGGGGAAAAAGAGAAAAAGAGAGAGAAACAAATGCATCTCTGGCACAGTTTCCAATTGATTGTCTGCCATGAAAGCAAAAGCCAGCTGCCATGTTAATTATTCATGATGCCTGGCGCAGAGGGGAGGAAGAAGGGGCTTATGGAAGCCACTCAGCAGTGGAAAATTTGCATATGTAGATAGCAGAGTAGGGAAAAAAAAAAAAGAGGTGGGGTACTCCTGCACAAGATAAATGGGATGCACAACAATTCAGCATTTCCTGATAGATTTTTCTGTACTTCTGTTTGGTGGCTGAAAAAGTTCTCAGCGCTGAGGTCGGCAACAAGTGTGCGTGGGGCGTGCGCAGGGACAAACGCCGTGCGGAGAAACCGCGGAGGTCTGAGGGTGACCAGCGCCTTTCAGTTGCTCTCCCCGCCACAGTCATTTCAGGTTAGAAGTTCCCATGGGGTATAAGGAATCCCAGAGGAGCAACAAGAAGCTCTTCCATGCAGAGTCACGGGTTTGATCACGTCAGTCACGTGCTTTGAGACTGTGGACTTACAAGTGCAGCTGTAAGAGTAATGACACCAGTCAAGTCGCACGACGCACCCGCGGATGGGCGCAGCGAGCTGCTCGTGCAGCAGGCCTCGAACACCTTCCTGGAGGAGAAAGGGATTTTGAAACCCTGAGGAAAAAATAAAAGCAGGATTTCAAACACCCCATCACCAGGGCCGTACACCATGAAAAGCGTGCAGAAGAGCGCAGGCAGCTACAGCAGGAGCTGTGGTCCTTCTGCTGCGGCATCAACTAGCAAGTCAGGGAGTCAAAACCCAGCACCTCTGACCTCTTGAACAACCCCTTCTCACAATTCCAAACCATTTTAATGCTGAACTATCTTGAGAACAGCCTTCCCTTATCCAGTTTCTATGATGAGATCGTACAGCTCAGAGGCCAATTTCCCCATCTCGTTTTGGAGCCCTTAGTAGATGATTTATGTAACTTAGCACACACAGCACACTTGTGCCACTCCTGTGTGCACACGTGTACAGCAGGTATATACAATGGTACACAGAAATGATGCAGACCATTAAAACTCATCTCCTCAGCACCCCGCTCATCCGAACCCAACCAGAAACGCTGCAGAACCGAAATCCAAGAGGACTTCCACGCAAGCTTAGAGAGCAGGATTTGGCTCTGACAGATCAAAGTGACAAATGAGGTGAAGAAAACTATCAGAGGAACACATGTGGGAAGAGGAGACTCAAAAAAAAGGGGAGACTCTAGTCCTGTATATTGTGAGCAAGAGTGGTTTAGTCTCTTGCATAAAGAGTTTGCATTTTCTGGACTTGTCTCAGTATTTAATAACCAGATTCCAAGTAACTGTCAAGGATCTCTGGGGCCTGACTTTCCACATTCCCTTTCCAACAGCTGTTCTGTTTCCAGGCGCACCCAGGTCGGCCTTACTGGGCAGCAGGACAGTACACGCAAGAGGGGTGCCTACACTGCACCACGTTTTAGCTCCTCTCAGGAGAACGCTTCGTGTTTATTTTCCTACCACATCCCTGGCAAGTTTTTCATCTTTCCCCAAAATCCACCTTCATCTGGATTTTCCGAACTGGGAAGCAGAAGGGAAGAGTTTCTTGTACTGCTCGGCAACAACTGCTGTGCTTCCTGCTTGGCAAAGGCAGGAGATGAAATCCCAGATTTGCACCTAGCCGCCATTATTAAATCCATCCCAGTTTTAATTCTTCCTGCCATTTTGAGTAGTTACCCTCTCTCATTTATCTCCCACTCCTCCCCCAACAACCTCCAGATCCTTGCCTGGTAAGAGCTGCTCCCAGGGCATCCTGTCTCAGTCTCAAATTCATCCCGGGACAAACCGAAAGCCTGTAGCAGGTATTGCAGCGGGATGTGGTTAAGCAGTGCAGCCGTGGCCCTCCCAGCGTAACACACACAATCTATTCGTGATTGGGTCAGAGCCCTCAGACGTGAATCCTCCCCAAAGCCAAAATCAAACCTCATTTGCACGTAATAAGGGAACGCAAGAAATTAACATTTAATATCATCACAAAGCCTTCTGGGCCCATCTCAACCCCCTACAGAGCCCAATGGCCCCAAAATGTTTCCTCCAGGCCTTTTCCCTGAAGCTTTCTCCCAGAAGCAAGCCGTGGCAGCTTACACGAGCCCTTCTGGAATGTGCCGAAGAGAAGTGCACTGACCTTTCTTTGCCCATCGGACCGTCCCCTCGCCGGAGTGAACGTAATTTTCAAATTTGGTCTGCAAAACCGTGGCCCGCTCCCGGACTTCCTGAGGGTCCGTGCCACCAGATTTCTGCAAGGGCGGTGGGAGGATTAGAGGAAAGAGAGAATTTGAGTCAGGAATAATGAAGCAGTTTACAATAGATTTAATAACAGTAAAATCACACAGTAACCACCCAGGGGCCAACAAAGGTAATCCTCTCAATATTACTAGAGAAAAAACCCCACCGATAAAGATGTTAAAGTCAGAGCAGCCAGTGAGCGCTGTGCGGCGCGGACAGAAAACCAGTTTTAATTTTGTGTTTTCTAACATCGATCATGTAACTTTTTCCCTCGCTCTTTTCCCCGCCCCCCCGCCCCTTTTTAAATATTCTTTCCCAGCTACCACTGCTTGTTTCCGTTGGAGTTATTTGGAATAACGCCCCCCAGTCCCCAGGCCAACAGTTTTACACTGATGTTGCAAGTTCCCCTGTGCAGTTCCCCAAAACACCTGGCCTGTTCCTGGTGCTCATGGGGCAGATGATCTGTGTTCCCCCCCAAGTTCCAGAACACAGACCACGTTCCAAACCAAAGCCAACTAAATGAACTGCCCTCTCTTGATGCCTACGTGAAGTTTTGTCACTGTCAGCAAGTCATACTTAACGGTAACTGCCATCACACGGTCCCTCTAGAATACGAAATGCCCAGGCACAGTAGAGGAAGCTTCTTCAGGCCAAAAGGGACATTTTGCATGTGCTCCAGCCATCCCAGGATCAGACCGCAGGATGCAGTTAAGGAAAGGGAAAGCAAACATTCCTAGGAACAAGCTGTTACTGGGAGGAGAAAAGAGGCTGTTTCTCTCTCTAAAGTGCCCAGGCAGAGAAAGGAAATGTGGACAAGGAAACGAGGATTTTTGATGGGCAACTGACAGCAAAGTGCACAGCCAAGCATCCATGGATGCGAACCGCTCCAAGAAAGGGCCACAGGTCTCAAAAGCTACTCAGACAGGAACCAGCATCCAAGTCTAAGAGAGCCAGATCCAAGGCAGTGACTTGACACTGGACAGCCCCTCATCTCACCAGGGCTGACCGAAAGCAAGCATCCAGCTCTGCACTAGGCCTGTGCCAAGGCAGCAATCCTGTTGTCCCTTCCAGGTAGATGTGCGTGCTAATGCTGCGTAACCCCCCTCCCTCGCAGCTGCGAGCATCACCCCTGCACTGCTGCCAGCCCGGGGAACCGTACCACGCCGATGCCATGAACCTGGGTGACCACCGAGCCAGGCAATGCTGCTGGCACCCTGCGTCTTGCTGACCCCCATCTGCCGCTCTACAGCCTAACAGCACATCCGCCCCAAGACAGACCCCCAACGCAGCCTGAATTCCCTGCCCGGTGCCCTCTTTTGAACTGAGGATCCCACAGCTTCCAGCCACTGGATGATTCTTCAGCAAAGCAGACGTGGGGCTAGAGCTCCTGCTCACTCACCACCCGGACTGACTGCCCACCCCCATCTCCAGCTGAGACAGCAGTGGGTGTTTTAGGTCTCCCAGATTTCTGGTCTCCGCTACCTGTCCCCAAATCCACGCGAGAAAGACCCACAACGCAGCCCGTTCCACAGACCCCTTTTCGTTCGACTTCACGCCCACCTATTCATCAGCTGCGACAGCCTCCAGCCGCTGCAGAGCCTTAATGAACTACGAGCGGAGCTGCCTCCCCGAAGTGGACACTCGTCGCTGCGACTAACAAGTTTCCATTGACGTGAAACATAAAACTTTCTCCCCCCGCCTGCTCCTCCTAGCCCCCATCACTTTTCTTTTGTTAAGCCTCCTGGCAGCACAAAGTGTCACCTTCCCAGCGTTTTTTAATATGAATGTGAAATTAGTGAGGTTTGCCCTTTCCCCCGGCGGACAGAATCCTCTGTTATTAAAAAGTAAAGCACTTTAATAATGAAAACTTTTTCTCTTTTTCCTGTGTTTTAACTGTTTAAAATTAATGAGAAGGGCATAACGGTTGTCAAAGCGATATTGAAAGCCGGGTAGCCAGGACCGAATAAGCACGAAAATCCCTCCAGAGTGTTAAATAAACAGTGCTTCAGCCCCCTCTGAATCCCTCTGTTGGTTATTGTATACATTCTGTAACAGCACTCAGAATAGATCTGAGCACCGGGGAGGCAGAAAGGTTTCAGAATTCCAATAAAGGCCTCAAATTAAAGACAGCCTGGTGCGAATTCCAGGAGAAAATTAAAGAGACCTCAAGCTTAAGTGACAGGTGACTTGCTTCTGTGTCACAACTGTCAGGGGATTTAGTGATAATATGGCAATATATTACAAAGGACTTTTCTTATTCCCCCCTTTAGGTTTCAAAATGAGGCATCTCTTCTTCCTGGTGCTGGGGGGAAGGAAAAAAAAAAAGTAAGACAAAAATGAGGGATAAAAACTAGGTGCATAATTTCCAAAGTGTGAGGTCAGTCCAAGAGAAATTAATGAAAAAAAGCAAATGGCAGGAAACGTAATGTACCCGGAACACAGCTTCTCCCCTCCTCCCAGCTCCACCTTGTCTTTTATCCCCTTCAGCCCCCTGAGACAGATCTCATTTTCAAATTGCCCCCTAATGGGCATGAAAAAAAAAAAAATTAAAAAAAAAAAAATCTGTGTTTGATTCCTGCCTTCCAGGGAGGTTCATCTGAAAAAAAATAAATCTAAATTTAAGACTGACTCTGAGCCAAAGTGTGAAAATAAAACCTGCACACCATGCGAGTGCCTGGACACATCAGATACAACTGGAAGTGCACTGGAAGCCATCCTCTACGCTCAGCAAGCTTTAATCCTCCTCGTATCCGGGTTTGGATGAAGAGGACAGTTAATTTGAGACCTTACCCGTTTATCTAAGATCCAAAAGAGAAAAGCCTACCCCAGAGGTGGCCTTGACCCACTCTCCACCCAGATGAGTCCGTCCCATCTGTTAAGTAAGCAGCACTACTGCCATTGCGGAGGAACGGTGGGGTAGCAGGACTTTTCTGGTGCCCGGTTAGAGGAAGAGCCTGTCCTGGCAGATCCCTAACCAGCAGCGTAATGACTGTGATCAATAACCATATCTACAAGCTACAAGAAGAAATGGGTCTGGTTACACCGTTATTTAACGGGTTCAAGACATGAGGGGGACTCCCCCAGCCACCAACTACACCAGGAAAAGACATTCAGAAGAAAAACAACTGATTTTAAAGAGTGCAGCTTTTAGGGTTGAGGTTGGAATAAGCCCTGAAAGCCTCCGATTCCATGAAGAGAATATGTTAATGGGAGAAGAGATTGAAACACAATAAAACTAGACTGAGGCAGAAAAGTTCATCCTTAAAACAGCAAAAAAAAGGATAAAAAAAAGTAAAAAACCCAGGCTGTAACATCTCCTGCTTCCATTATACTTCAAAACAAAATGAAGGATTTTGTTTTAATAACAACTTTTTACTAACCTCCACACACCTTCTCTAGAACTCACCAAGTCCCCCTGCCCCCCTCCATAAAAGTTGAAAGATCAAATTTATTCTCTTTGTAGGCAGGTGAACATTCACACACCCAGACATAGCCACATATATATTTTATACACCTAAATATAAAATATACATTTTACAGACACTTCAGCTTGCTCCCTGGCTGCACACACAAGCCCAAAAAATACATGTTCCAGCGTGGTACTTGTAATGGACTTCAGCTGAGGCAATGAGCACCGGAGAGCATTATAATGAGGTTCCTGTGTGCACGACCATCACATACACATGACTCAAGGCATGGAGAGCTGGGAAGCACAGCTAACAAACGGATCGGGTTCAGCTCCTCACACCGAGCCCACGCTCACTCCCTGTCCGGGGCCACGTCCCATTGCGGTCCCAGCCTACCGCACCACCTTCACGGCAAACGTGCCGAAACTGCGGTGGAGATTAACCCTCCTGAAAGCCTGGAAACGTGTCCCCGGAGCTGCTGAGACAGCACTGCAGCCCTCTCACAGAGCTTCTGATGGCAATTAAATCCAAAGCGAACAAACAGAACCGACCCTTGATTGCATGTGATGTGTTTTTCAAGTCACGCCTGATGCAGCCTGTTCCATACTGACAGAGCTGCTGTCACTGCATCCCTGTTGGACGAGAGAGGGTTTGTTCCATAAAGGGAAACGCCATTTCTCAGTCCCAATCCTTTCCGGTTCTGAGTCACATAAAACCAGGTTATTCTGTATTCCTAAATTCCTGCAGCAGATTCAGACCATCCTACAGCCCGAGCGGATACATCTCGGCTCCAGTGAAGTCAACAGCGAAACCCTACGCACTGTGATGGCAGAGGGAGCAGAGAAGTTCAACCCCACCTTTAACCACAAGCGAAAGGAACCCGCTCCTTCCGCACACGTACTCACGTGCAGCACCCGGCCGGGCAGGGCAGCACTGCTGAGCAAAACCCAGAGCAGCAGCCACTTCCACATACGGTTTGGGTTTGTATTTTTTGGAAGGAAAGGGAGAAAGACAAAAGAAGAATATTCACAGTGTTCCGTGCTTAGATGTGTGGAGTATTTTACAGTCTGAGAAATAGCAATTTGATCAGTCCTGGTAGCAAACAGGCTTGTTGGCTTTTCTTTTGCTCTTCTAAAGAGAAGGATACAAAGGCACTGAGACGTTTAAGTGAGAATTTTCAGAATGGATCAACGATTTTGGACCTCCACAAGCACTGGGCTCTGAGAGGCAATAATGTTCAGCAGTCATTTTCTCCTGCCACTTTTCAAAAGCCAAATCATAATTTCCTAGGAAAAAAAGAAGTCCTCTTTTTTGTTTTTTCCCCCACTTTCCGTGAAAATACACTTGTCCTCAAGCCCAGAACAGACAATGTTCTGTCCCAGGTCAGCAACAGATTTAAGTGCAATTCCAGCACAGGTGTCATTGTTGAACAACTCTCCAAAGGAATCCCAACGCCACCCACCTACAAGCAGGCGCAGGAGAAAAGGGAAGTATTTATAGACAGAAGAACTATTTAAAGTAATTTCTGCATTAACAAAGCACCACTAAACTGGGACATATTTGTTGATATCCTAGGCATGTTCCAGACACTGTAAATACAGGCATTATTGGCTGATTTCAGGGAAAAACTGTGCAGTGGTGGAAAAGAGCTTTAGCTAGAGCTGTATCTCGGATGAGCCACAGATCTGTCTCTCTTGGAAATACGGGGCATGTAGGGAGACGGAACATCTTTCAAAAGCCTGTTTACCGAGAACACCAGTTATAACAGTAATTCGCAGGGAACTAAAAGGCTCATACATGATATAACAGAAAGAACGAGGAGGCAAAACAGCAACATGAGAAAGAAAAAAAAAAAAGAGTGCGCTGCATCATGCTTGACGCATTCCTGACTTCCATTCACAATGAGGGTTCTTGGAGGCTTTAATTTGCCAGAACGCTGAAACGCCCCAGACATCAATTGCAAATGACTGAATTCTGTGAATTAGCGACCTGAAGGCAGACCCAAAGCTTGCGGAAGCCAAAGAAAAGATGCCTGTCAACCCTGTGAGCTTTGTTTTAGGCTCCAGACAAACACAGATAATAAAAACACCCTCCGTCACAGTCACACGCCACCAAATGCATTTCCCTCCTTTCTTCAGAGTTGTGTGTCATGCGTGATCTCCAACAGTATTTTAGTGCAGAAAAGTCAGAAAACAGGATAAAAAAAGCTCAAAGCTTCTGCAGCCAGAAACCTTTACTGTCCATTAGAAAAATATTTGCTGAAGAGTTAGAAGCAACTGCTTTTGGGACAACCCTTTAAAGATTGGACAACTGTGATATAAGGCAGTTCTGTCATTATTTGCACTGCCTGACATCATGGAAATACCAAGCCCTCATATGGTATAGACAGAAGCTAAGGGAGGAATATTTATGATGTTTAACTGCTAAATGAAACTTGGAGCAATTCCAAACCAGCAGAATAACTCACCTTTCTTCCCGGTCTGTGCAACTTGAAGCGATCATCTTTTATCAGGCTCGATAACACCTTCTCCATTTTCATCTCTGAAACACTAAAGCAACAAAGATGAAGAATTACCACCTCTCCTACTTCTCAAATATAGTGTGTCACGAGCCACAGGCTGACAATGGATAGCAAAAAGATTTACACATTCAACTCCAGAATTTATCCCTGAAATACACGAGGCCTTACCCCAGACACTCACTCAGCAACCCTAAAAGTTTAATTACTGCCAAGTCTCGACCCCAGCTGAACTGGTGGTGTTTTTGTCAGAACAGAGACACACTTTTACCCACAATCTTGTCGCTGTTACAAGTCACCAACACAAACTCCAATTCTAACAGAGCATCAAAATAACTGAGTGAGGACTTCCAGTTCCCTGGAAGTCTCTTTGGTTCTCAACCACTGTGACCGATTAAGGAAAGATTTTAGGTCCTTGATTATACACTAAAGCTGTGTAAAGACACAGCTCCTTCCTCTCATAGTGACTCAAACTCAGAGGGGTACCAATACGATCCCAAGGAACTTTTCCTATCAAACCAACTCTCCCACAGCTTCCTTCTATCTGGTCACATCATCGCTCTTTCCCACAAGATCTTACATCATTCCAACCTCTTGCTATGTTGCTTGGGTCAAAGCTCAGAGACACACTTTCCTGATGGACCATTCACTCTCTGATTCACGTACAGCTTCAAAAGCCACCTCTGTCACCCGATACACGGCTTGATTTCCTTCCCTATTCTCTGAGAACTCACCTTCCCTCTCATTTGAAGTGTAAAGCCAAAGCCCGGCCCATTAGGGACCCCACTGCATTTTTTTAAATACAGGAGGCTCAGTCAGCTGTCCTAGCCAGGCTTCATGCTGGGCATTTATTTTCATTCTGTCGACTCACATTCCTCCTGTAGATTCAACCAGATGATTTATTCTCCAGTCCTGCTCGCAAGACACTGCTGGGTACTGCTATGGCCCAGATACGGGAAATGCTTACGAACCTGCTTCGTTTTAAAGAGAGTGGTCCTACTCAGAGGTGCATTTACGGGAGACTGTAAATTCTTCATCCTCTTTAACACTGTCTTGTGGGACACACGCACACCAGGTGACACAACACAGAACAGCTGTGCAGCTCCAGGCCATTAATATTACAGCTGCATCCAAACCGGGTCCCATTTCCAAGGGAATTATTCAGGTGATAAGAGTTGAAGTTTGTGGGTCCAAATTTTCAGCAATGGGCAAAGGTCATCTCTAAAAACAGAGATTCTTTTCCTTTTTATACCAGAATAAATCATAAATACTGCATGGAAGCCAAGGAGTTCATTTGGGGTTACAGCAGTCTAAGGAAGAGCGAAATCTTGGGGGTTCAACAGTTCTCAGACTCCCGAATCTCAGAAGGTCAGGGAGATGTATGCAGTTTCTGAAAGGAAGCGGTGCTGGTAGTCTTCAGTTTGTAAAGTATAGAAAGAAATTCTAACAACAAGGACATCCCCTTTCTCTTCACTCAAAGATCCCCCCACTCCTGGTCAGGAGGAAGGGATGAATCCGTGCCACACTGTGTAACTGCGGACACCGTGACCCTCGCCTGTTCCCCACTCTGTCCCAGTAAAGTGACAAATGCCTTTACTTTTGCTCCCTGCCTCTTCCACCTCAGCCAG